GTCATTGGCCCGCCGGCGCGGATCGTGTGTCTTCGTTAAGGCTGATCAGCTGACAGCTCCCAGGAGGCTCAGTGCGACAGGACGCGCCCCTCTGCCCGCGGTCAGGCGTCGAGCTGGGCATCAGACTCTGCCACACGCGGCCGGTGATCCCACCGGTGACCTCAAGGCTGACCCCACGGGTGACCGGCGGGGCAGCACCGTCACCCTGAGATGTGGTGTCACAAAAGGTTCAGCTGAACCACAGTCCAGTTGTTGGCTAGTTGGTGAACATTTTCACTAAATGGGACACAAATGGACCAAATCGATGACGTGGATTTTCACAGTGGTGATGACGTTTGCGAGCTATTCATAAATGAAATTCGAACGGTGGATCAGACAGAATCAAGCTGCAGGTTTTTCCACCATTTTTCCCACACTGAAGAAAGTCGGGTCCCGACAAAGCTCGATAACGCTGACCACGAACTGAAGAATGTGTTTGAGTCAAAGCTCATTTTTTTCACGCACTGGAACAATACGGGGATCAGGTTGCAAATGAGCCAAACAAAACTTGAATGTGCAAAGCGATTGCCCCCTCCTATAAGTTCAACAGACATGTAACATGTAATCCTACATAAGGCCCCGCCGAGAGCATTCACAGCTGTCCTCTGCTGAACTGCTCTGCAGCTGTTCGAACTCACAGGCGTATGAAACGTTCGCGCGCTTTTCTCGTCACGGTCTCTGTAATTTGCCCTTCCTTCGTCACCACTGTCGTGTGCCCCATCTTGTCGGTGTGTCCTGCATCAAACGGGGCATCATCTCCGGTGGATAGGTAGTCACGTGTTGGGGTAGGGTCCCGCGTCAGCAGTTCGGTCGAGAAACAACACCGTTCCGCCTCCGCCCGCCTCCATTCAATGGTGGTCCACCCCGCCGTGAACCGCCGTTCGTCTGCGCGGGCATGGGCCCATGACGGCGGGCGAGCGCTCTGTCGTTACTAGGCTGTAGCTGAACTGCAGCTGCAACTGCAAGTCGATTTGAATACGTTTTGGTTGGTTCTGTGCGTTTCTTTTTTGTTAGCAGATGTGGCAAAAATTGTTTGATCGGATCTTTCAGTTTTGACGCTATTAAAACAAAAAAAAATGGATACAACACATCAAGGCCATAAGCTACCAGACCCCCAGACCCCTTTCCAGCGTTTGGGCTGCAGAAAAGGTTCCGACTGAGTACAGAGCGGACAAAATATGTACACTAGCTTAGAACGGGCCGAAAAATAACGTAATTTCACGCTACCAAACTCCTAGCAAACCACTGAAGATTTAAACAGAAACAAAGGTGAGCTGTGTTTTTCGTTTTCTCAAGTATGACAAGTGCGGACATCACAGTGTCGTTTTATTCGAAAGCTAGTGGTGGCGACGAGTGGTTTGGGTAGACTGGGACGGTGTCATGTCACTTCATATGCTGCACTACACTGAACAGCAGCCGAGCCACTGAAAAAGCAAGGACGGGAATATAAATAACCAGGTCAAAGCCGAATTGGCAGTGCTTCACGCCACCCTCATTCCATTGCATCTTAAAATGTCGTACAATTTCGTCTGCATGGTATCAGGCCCAACAGGAAATGGCACGAAGCCTTTTTTATTGTTATCACCACATCAAGCACATCGAACACTTCTGGACGTGTTACAAGGCACAGGGCATCGCTTCGTAGCACGTTCCACACGGCATGCCAGGGGCAGATACATCCGACTATGAATACGCTTAACAACGACCATCCGACAGCAAATAATACCAATTACCTCACTCATACAGAGATCGCTGCATACGGAGAGACAGAGGGACAGTTCCACATTTCTAAAAATGGCGTTAGTGCCGCGGCCAGCTAGTGGTGGCGCGGTTGGGTACTTACATGCGATGGAGGCTTCTCAGAACCTTTTCTCCGGAGCAGCGGGCCCTATAATTGGGTGCGATTGGACGCGCGGAAGCCGTCTGGAGCGGCCGCGGGGTGCGCTCCTCACCTCAGAAGGAGGCTGGCCGGGCACGCGGCCACGCGGGGGCCGTCTGGGGCGGCCGCGGGGTGCGCTCCTCACCTCAGACGGAGACTGGCCGGGCACGCCGCCGCGCGGAGGCCGTATGGGGCGGCCGCAAGGTCCGCCTCTCATCTCAGACAGAGACTGGCCAAGTACGCGGCCGCGCGGAGGCCGTGCGGGGCGGCCGCAGAGGGCTGCACCCCTCACCTCAGAGACTGGCCGAGTACGCGGCCGCGCGGAGGCCGTGTGGGGGCGGCCGCGGAGTTGCGACTCCTCACCTCAAACAGAGACTGGCCGAGTACGGCGGCCGCGCGGAGGCCGTGGTGGGGCGGACCGCGGGGTGCGCTGCTCACCTCAGACGGAGACTGGCCGAGTACGCGGCCGCGCGGAGCCGTGTGGGGCGGCCGCGGGGTGAGCGCTGCTCACCTCAAACGGAGGACTGGCCGAGTACGCGGCCCGCGCGGAGGCCGTGTGGGGCGGCCGAGGGGTGCGCCCCTCACCTGAGATAGAGACTGTAGCCGAGGCACGCGGCCCGCGCGGCGGCTTCGGAGGCTGCCAGCTGATGAGCAGGGCACCAGCACGCTCCATGGCGGCTGCAATGGCCCGCGGGGGTCCCGCCACTGCCGGCGAGTGGGGCACGCGGCTGCAGCTCAGTGGCGGCCCGCGGACTCGGTCCGAGCGCGCCCGCCCTGCGCTCTGACAGCATGGCAAGGACTGCGTGTCTCTGTGTCAAGCAGCGGATGTTGATGCATTCGCTTCTTTCACAAGTTGTGCACTTATCGTGACTGGTTACCATCAGTGGCCGATACAAGTGAACTGAAGCTTTGGGCGGTCTCAGTTTGACATTGTTCAGAGGTCAAAAAGGCTGCAGTGCCGCACATTCATTGATTACATTTATTAATGCTTCCGCAACAATGCAGATCGCCTTCCACCATGGGCGCCGAGAACGCCGATTTCCTACCAGATTCTTCGAACACGGGGATCATCAGTATTCGGAGCGGCTGCATGAGCGATTGCCATGGTTGGCAGTTATTGTTAACTTTTGATGGACGACATTTTCAATAGCTCTGCGCCGAGCTCAGCGGCGGTTGCGAACAGGATAAGTCAGAATTCGCCGGCCCGCTCGGCCATTTACGACGCTGGATTATTTATCCGCCGGTCGCGTAAGACCCCAGAAGCTGGCAGATGGCGTGGCAGATCCGTCGCCGCCCGATTGGTTCGGTGATTGCCGTCGAGCCGGCGTCGGAGCAGACATCAGCTGCCAGTGACGCCGCCCGCCCGGCCCTCCCCGAGCGGCATGAGACGGTGCGGCCAGACGGCCTCGTGACGGGTGGCGGCTCCGCTGATCACGCGGCCTCGGGGGCCATTTGCGCCACTGAGACATGACGCATCGCGAGCCACACAGAAGGCGCTGTACAGGGAACGATAATCTAGACGAGGTCTTGCGGTACACACACCAACCGTACAGCGAGACCATAACCTTTTTCATCTCGCCTCTCTAAACTCCCAGTCACTGACTCATCACACAGCATTTCCTCCAGCAACACTCTTTGGCCACCTCTGCACAAACCCCAGTGCACATCCGCCCTCACCCACCCATCAGTCGCTGTCACCCTCCCCTCCA